ACCATTGAAGAATGATCTACTTCCTTGCACACTAAATTGATCCTAGATTCTCTGACTCAGCACAAATGCATGTGCCCATATTGGGTATATAAATGGTTGGGAGACGAAGGACCTCTCCCCCTGGATACCCTGGCAGAAGTCAACATCTCTCTGGCCCAAATGATCTCACACAACAGCAGATCCTATGTCTAGGGTCTTATCCATTTGCTTTTGCACGTGTCTTATCCTATTTGATGGTTTTCCAAGATGGTTTGACTGACCAGGGATAAGTCCATTGTCATTGTCCTTATGATTCTATCTAGCAACTCTTACTAGCTGGGTCATATTTACTACCATAAAATTGTATAAAATCAATTTTTATATTCACCCAAGTACTAGTATAGATTTAAGAACGAAGGGCCTAGGCCCCCGCAGCAGTTTGATCCCAGGCCTGGGACAGCCTTGGGAGCCATGGTTCTCAGGAAGGGGAGGCCACCCCAGGCCTGGGCCAGGACTGGTAGCCACATTGACCTTGATCATTTGGATGAGACAAAAAATGACTCTAGTAATTTCTAGAATATGATATGTATATAGCCTCCATCAATAAGACCTTAGTATAACCAGCTAATTTAGGGCAGTGATAATGAATATTCTTTGAGCACAATACCTGGCAGTGATCAGACACTTGGCAAGTTTAGGGTTAGGTTTGCTGTGTTGTTAACACAGCAAGCAAATGTGTTGTTTAACTCATTATTATATTTGACTGATTATTTTCAAATAGCTCTGCTTGAATGCAATCACAATGAAGAATGTGTGAGTCAACATCAAATCTTGGGTCAGTGTGAATAATAAAGCTACAGAAGAAAGAAATAATAAGGGCTGCAAAGAGTCACGGATGAAAGCAATAAATTCTTTCATCCAAGTATATCTAGCAGTCCGGTTTTTTTGTCATTTAGAAAGAACTTATCTCAAAGTGTTATATTTGTGCATTAAAATTTAAATATATTACTTTCATTTTATTACAAATTCTTGGTGATATATATGCTCTACTTTTCTACCAATGCTTATTTCTATTTTTTCTGTATGTTTGGTTGCCTTGTTACTTCTGTCATTTTTGTTATAATGGAATTTATGTTTCTGCTTTAAGCTGATAATTAGTTGCAAAATTGATTGTAGAACCTTTAGTTTTCTTGTAGATTTTTTTTCATTATTTTTGGTAAGAAACTTATAGAGTAAAATTTCATTAACCACCATATAAATTTTAGTTCCACATGATGATTTACTAAATTTTGAGTAAAGACCCAAGTCCATGCAACCAATTAATTGATCATTGATATGAAGGAAATTACATTCAAAAAAAGAAATCATAAGCAGTTGTACTCATACTTGGAGAAACTCAGGCATGTCATAAATAGTTTCTACGTAGTATAAATATTAAAATTTCTAGTTAGTATAAATATTAAATTTCTTATATATAACATTAAAATGAAAAGGTGATATCGCAAGCAAACAAAACAAATTATCATTTGTATTACATAAACTTGACGGACTTTTTAAACACAACATTGTTGGACAGTATTGCAACAGGAAATGTAACAGCCAAGCAAGATGTAGGTAGCATCGTTGGAAAGCATAGCTAAAAATCACTTGTAGATAAAAAGAAAATCTATTAAAAACACCATTGTTCTTTCCTAATATCAGTGTCATACATGCAAACATGGCCTGTGTTGCAAATAAAGAGTGTTGCTCCTGCCATCATAATACAATTGACACAATATATATTTACAATATAAATAGTTTTTTTACTTCCTATTATTACTAACCTCCCTTTTAATTCAACTTGAAGATAGCAATTTGTATCTTTGTCCTTAGTTTTTGATGACCATATAAATGTTTTAGGTGATATAAGAAATAACACTAAATTGCAATCATCTTGCATGGTGAGGCGATACATCCTATTTTGTGATATCAAACTATTTCCAGCAAGAAGATAGCTACCAAAAGATTTGGCTGGACCACTAATGAGTTTATACTCATAAGGCCAACAATTATTAAAATCTAAATCCTGATGAAGTTTTATATTATTAACTGATGGAAATGGTTCATTAGGATCTCTATTAGCAGGACCCGTACTAATATATTCAAGTTCATAATTTTCTGAAACTACTGTAAGACGGCCATAAGCCCCAAGGCGGGCATACATTTTCAACATGCCAAATAATGTTTCAAACCTATTAATAAGCTGTGATGCAGACACTTCAACAAAAGTATTAGGTTCAATAGCACAAGATTGGAACTCAGCATTAGACTCTTCAGATGTACGAAATCTTATAACAGTATTAGGAACATTATCTACTGTATAACTCCAAGTATCTCCCAAGATTCTATTGCTATTAATGTCCTCAATACAAATTTTAATAAATCCTAGAATTGAACGGATATAGCTATTTGAGTGAAACTTATAAAGAGCACTATTACGTACATTTTGAGTAGTAATCAATGGAATTACTAGTAATAAAATAAATAGTAAAAGCTTCATAGACATAATTATTAATTTTTTTTTCCAAATTAAAGTCTAAATTGATGTTATTTTATCAGCATCAAGAGATTACCAAAATTTTTCCTTAGTCAAAAATAATATAACATCATTACCTTAAAAATAACAAAGCTATAAAGAGCTATATTATTATAATAATGCCATTTGTACTAGGTCTGCTTATATGCTCCACATGTCCCCAACTAAAGAAGAATGGGACCCATGTCATTTTTAACATGACTAAAATTAATTATCTATTTTATAACATAAGAAGAAATCTTTCTCAGGAAGACTTTAAGTAACATACCCTTGTGAGGTTGATATTATAGGTAGGAAATAAAGTATTTCTAAAAGCTAATAATAAGCTGAGCTCTTCTAAGTTTTTTTTAAAACAGCTGAAGATAACTAATTATCTTGCAAAACACAGCTTTAGATGTGAAAATTAATATAAATACAATATGTTTCATCTGTACTTGCAATATATGTTAACAGATTAAAATGCCTTAACATCTTATATTTGGTCTTTTACAACCACTTTCTTTTGATCCAAGGTCTTTAAAATTTATTTCTATAGATTTCTTCATTGTTCTTTCACTTTCTTAAGGATTTGAGTTGTGGTTTACTAGTTTTTAAAATGGGACATTTCTAACTGCATGTTAGAAAATGATTAATGGAGAACATCAACTAAGCTTATCTACAAGGAGATCTTCCACTTTCATGATAATGTCAATTATCAAAATCCTTAATTTATATTCACGTTTTGACTAGTTTCTTTCCTTCAACATTTCACCATCCTCAAATTAACTTGTAATCAAAGTATACTATTCAAAATTTTGAACAATAAATTCAATTTTTTATTTCTCATGAATAAAATAATTGAGTTCATTTACTTCCTTCTGCTTATAACACTAGGAGCACATTTGTCTAATTTTGTAGTTTGTCTTTAAACTATATAGGCTAACTATATACTACAAAGTGACATCCCTGCAACAAACCACACTCAATTTTATTAATGTGTTAGACTAGTTAAAATGGTTGATATTTTACTCAAGAACTATGATAATAGTATGCTACTAATTATGTTGTTACTCATGTTACTATTTTGGATTCTATTTATAAAGAAGTTTCTAATTTAGCCTTCTTTTTCAATTTGATCAAAGGTTTGGCCTATAGGAAGACCACACACTCTTGCAATATCTTTAGTTCATTTACTAGCTTGATCTTCCTTCATCCATGGTTTTACAACAGCTCTTGGACCAAGCAGTGTCTTACAGTAGACACCAGTCTTGAAGGCATGAAATTTAAGGAGTTGAGACTGAATTTATGGCAACCCACTGAGGCAATGAAATACTGCGGGAGTGTATACCGATGCCTTCCACCTCAAAAGGCATAAAGCAGTGTTTTCTTCAGCAGCTCTTGAAAGACATTTGAGGTGGAAGGCATTGGTATACACTCCCGCAGTATTTCATTAGTGGGCTGCCACAAACTCAGTCTTAACTCCTTAGATTTCATGCCTCAAGGAAAATGTCATATTCTTTACAAAGTGAGCAACATGGCTTGGCTTCAAAGCGGGGCTGCAACAGGATGTTCTGGTATGGTGATGGAAGGTGGTATGCTAGAATGATGGATTTTATGCATATTGAAGATCTTGGGTGGTCTAGGCCTGTGCAATTAATGAAGGATTGCTCTAAGTTCTAGGATTGTAGGCATGGCCACATGCTAGAGGATTTGCTTTGGACATGCTCCATGGGCATGCCTTTCCTGGACAATGGCTGTATCATAGATCTTCCTTGTATTCCACCACCTCCTCCTCTTTAGATCACTACTCTTACGGTTGCTTGATTCTAAATATTGGTATGGTAGTGATTAACTTAAAGTGGAAACCTGCTTCTCATTTTGCTCATGCTTCTAACATAATTACAAAATTCTATTAACAATATCCACTTTAATCAAGTCTTTAGTTACTGCTCAGTGCTAAATGTTAATGGGGGATGATATTATATATTTGCTATATCTTTGTATTAACTGAAAATGTATTTCATCATCATATAGAGATAATACTTAGCTACACAAATATATTATTATGAAATGTTTTGTATTATCTAGAATTTAATTTTAGTTGAAAGTCATCATGAGCCTAGCTGGTAGTCCCTGAGCAATGTACAATGCAACTAAGTAGTCCTTCAGCACCTTCTGAACGACAACCTCATATGAAACTGCAGCATTATAAAGGAGGCATGTGGTAGTCAATAGCATGACACTTCAGAATTGTAATGGCAAGAGACCATGGGCGGTGCTTGAACTCTCATAAAACTTAGTTGCGTGCAACAAGATTTAAAGCATCTAGCAAATTCTTTCATTTGCAGACATATTTTGTCAACACTAGCGGCTAAAACAAAGGCCTCTTGCAACGCCATTTGCATATGGTTTTTGGTGTTGTTCCCGTCAGACTTCACCATCTTCGTACATAGTCACGCAAGAGAACTAGAGCCAAGCTCTCGGTCAGAAGATTTTTGATTCTATGAATTATTTACAGCCGGAAAATCTTTTCTTCACGTCCCAACGAGGCCTTTATGGCGAGCGTAGGCCATGACGATGGAGAACAAACCAACGCAAAGCATACACCCCGCAACCACGACCTGCGGTCAGGATAAAACCAAAAACACAATGTTGTGAATGAACGAACCATGGAGAGCAACGCAAGAGATTGCAAACCCATTTAAAAAGGTAGGCGTGGTCGTCGTTCCAGGGATAAGGTATGTTCATCCCAAAAATTCCAGCCACCAGCGAATACAACGCCATTGCCAGCGTAGCCGCGTTGAGAACTAGCTCCAACTGGAATCGACACATCGGATAAAGTCAGCGAGAAGGAGGAATCAGCACCACTTTCAACCTGTATAAGTTGATTGCGGTGGTTGTCAAGCTGCAACATTGACATACTAAGTTTCATTAAGGGAAACGCGAAAGAGGAAATAAACCTGGATATTTATGTAGTCTTCCGTGTCATCTATGTATTCACGAAGCTGGAAGGATGTGAAACGCAGCTAGTTAGCTCAGTCACTGGGGCGAATGGACGAACTCACCGTGTTAAGCTTGTTCAGAGTACCATCCACTTGCATGAAGTAGCACTGAATAAAAGAAACCATGTCTAAGTGTAAGCAAAAGCAAATAAACCGTGTTGTACGCAAGCTGAGTACCTCGAGCAGCATTTCCACTTCTTCAACATCGTCGTCACTGCCGTGAGTAGAGGCAAGAGACTTTGTTCTGCTCACTGCCGAAAGCTTTGAGCCAAGCACTGGCGACGCAGGAAAATTACTCAGCAAGGCTGGAGTTAGTGTCGAGGAGCCTGCCTTTCTCGTGAGGAATAGCTCGGCCATATCGTCATCGTCATCTAAGAGTTGCTCAAGCTCGTCTCTTACCTGTGATATCAACAACGAAATAATGGGAAGGACAAGGCACGAAAAGCATGACTACCTTTTGGACACGAGAAATGAGCCGAGTCATTCCACTCTTCAACTTCCTGACACGATCCAAGTTCCGGCTGCTGATCTGCATTCCAGATACAATGAGCGAGGAAGATGCAAGCCAGCGCTCATGAATGTCTGGAAAACTCGTAGCTCTAGTATGCTGTTCGACGAGAAAGAGGCTTTACCTTTGACGTGAGCTCGTCTAGAGCCGGGTATGCCGAAGTTTCCAGCTCGGTTGTTCGTGCGTCCAAAAAGCTGCAAATCGCTTCCAGTGCTACTTCCAAAGCCCGAAACTCGAAAGGGGTGACTGAAATATGGAAAATGAGAGGAAGGAAACTCTGTTTCTAGCAACTCACCTTCACCCCGTTCGGGGTCACTTTGCACGCTTGACTTTCTTCCGGATTTTTTGCTGTCTGTTCTCTCCAAAAGCGCGAGACCCTCGGCTCCATTTTCCAGAGTCTGGAGAGGCAAGCGTCGACGTAGTTCCTCCACAATTGGAATGACATGCTCGTTGGTTGGATTGCGGAGTAGCACCTGGGAAATATTCACACAAAAAGAGAGAAGGAAGGATCACAGGAGGAAGAACTGGATGGAGCTCACCTCCTCGGCAGTGATGATCGCTTTGATATGCTGCGCATTGATTCAAGCCACGGCGTGAGCCAAATAGCGATGTCGCTGAGCTACATACCTCCAAATTGAGCACAATCGCCCTCTCCCGACCTAGAATCGTGGATGGATACGACAGAAGCGGGTCCAGAATGCGCAAATCCCGAGCATGGATCCCCGCCCGGTGCATCACCGCCGCCTTGTCCATGTCCAGCGTCACCGGCTCCCCATTCGAGTCCAGCACGCACCAGATTCGGGAAGCCATCCCCTTCTTCCCCAAATCCGCCCCCGGCGACGCGGCCTTCGCCATGGATCGAGCGCTCTCGCGGCCAGCTCCAGCTACATTGCACCTCAGCCCTAAAAAAACTTTTAAACCCTTAACGCCGAGTTTTTAAAAACCCTCTGCCCCCATAACGGCCTCCCATGATCTACCGTACAAAGAATGTCCTGCCGTACTCAGTACGAACACCTAAAGTTATACCGTATAAAGAAAATTGTACGGACAGCTAGCGTTCTACCGTAGGACACGCTTACAAAAACTCTTTTTTTCTTCGTTTATCCAAACAAAAGCTGCTCCTGCTTGCTGGCTATGGCTTCTCGTCGCTCGGCTCTGTAGCTAGCTAGCGAGCTCGCAAGGGAAAAAGAAAGAACACTCACTCACTAACACTACTAGAAAAAAAAAAATATCCATCTCCCTCCCTCTCTCTCTTTTCTCTCTCACGCTATCTACATTATACATTGAAGGGAAACTACTCACCACACTTAAAACTGGCAAGATGTTCCCAGCCTCTGTACAAAATTGAGGTTGTCAGTCTTGCGCCGGACGAACGCATCCTCAAGCAGCTCCTCAAACTGTCCCAGGAACGCCTCCCACTCCTCGTCGCTCATCGCAGAGAACACCAAGTTCTCCGGAGTGTCCCCCGCTGGGATTGCCACTGCTGCTGCTCCCGGTGCCGACGATGTTACTGGTGTTGATGGCGCCGCTGCTGCCGCTGACCCAGTCGACGAAGATGAGGAGCGGCGGCGGCGATGGTGGTGGTGGTGGTGGTGGTGGTGGCGCTGATGTGAAAGCGAGCAAGTGTTGCGCGCACTGAAATACCTCCGCAGCTTGTTGGTGTCTTGTCTGTTCTTGTAGTAGCTGCTGTACTTGGGACTTCCAAACGGACGAAGGCGGAGTAGAACGTTCCGTCCGGCGTAGTAGCCGTTTCCGGGATTGTTCTTCCCGAGCTCGCCCAGGATGGCGTCGTGCAGCATCTCCCCCTCCTCCTCTTCCTCCGCTGCTTTATCCGCTTCATCAGCAACCACTTCACCACCCGATTCCTCGTCAATCTCGATCGAGAAGTTGCCCAGGATGTCGTCTTCCAGCTCCAGGTCCTCCTCATCGATCTGATCCTCCTCCTCCTCCTCCTCAGCTTCCTCGGCCAAAGCCTTGTCCGCCTGAAGCTTGGCCACCATACAGACCTTTTCCAGCTCACTGAGTTCCTCGTTGTCACCACAAAGCTCACGGCTCATCATGGCGCCTATCTCCGCGAGAGTCAGCCCCGAGCGAGCCGCGTTCTTCAAAAAGATGGTGCAGAGGACCAGCATCCGAAGGCAGCCTTCCCTCAGCATCGGCAGCTCCCTCCGGAGCATTTCCGCGTCCTCGTAAGGATCCAGTGCCTGTATGTATTCCAGCTCCTCCTCTGAAAACGGCATCGAGGCTTGTGGCCAGTGGAGCCACTCGAAGTAAGGGTCGTCCAGAGTCTCGGGCAAGCAGAGCCCGTGATCGATGGGAACCAGCTCGAAAGAACCACCTCTCCACCCCGCATTCTCCACCTTGCGCACAAGAATGTTACCACCGTGTCGATCAGTGTTAAAGATCCGGACATCCAGAATGCCAATGCGATGAACTGCCGAGACCGGAAAACTGGACGTCCCAATGTCACTTGCGTCACTGTCGTGCTTCACGAACTGCTGGAAAGAGGCAATCTTTGCAACGGGCGACCCCTCCCCCTGGTAGCTCACACTGATCTCCCTGTTAACGTTGAAGACCGAGTGACGAACTTTCACCAGAGATGTCGCAGGGACTCGCGCAAAGTTCCCGTAGTCCAGCAAGTAAGCTGCTACTTCCCGAACGCCCGTCTCGCCAACACGAATCGACCTCTTGAGCCCCGGCTCCCCCAGCACCCTGCCCACGAACCCCTTGGGATTGTTGGGCGCAAAGGGCTCCTCGTCAGTCGGCTTGACGATGGCAATGCTCTGTCCGCTCGAGTCCTTGAAGTAGTAGGCTCCGCCCAGACCACCAGTGGCCAGCACCGGCACCACGCCGCCATGGATCGCCTCCACCGAGTCTTGAATCAGCTGCTTCATGGCCGGAGAGCACTCGGACGAGCCTCCCACAAGCTCCACTGGCTGGCTCCAGTCCTTGGGCGGGGAGACATCTAGCGTTGGCGACAGGCACGGCGTGGAAGAGCTCCTGTGCAGTCCCCGCGTCAACAAGAGTGGAGTGTCGCTCCGGACCTCACTGAGATCGTCCTCGATGACATGGTCGCCGAAAACCAGCGCGCTCTGCTCAGTCGGGACGGACAGCGCTGCCTGGACCTTCTTCTTCACGGACTGGACTTTCTCGGACCTGTCCAGCTCCAAGCCAAGCACATTGCCGGTGTCGATTTGCACGATTATGCGCCGTCGCCCCACTTCGCGAAGCTGAGCCGCATGGATGCCAGACAATCCGCCATAGCAGACCTCGGGCAAGGCCATGGGCTTCTGAATCTGGACAGGTCCCTGGAAGCTCCTCATCTTGGCGAGATGGAGAGATCTGGCCTGAAAGAGAGAGGGCAGCCGCGCAGAGCCCGTTAAGCACAATATTTCTAGGATGGAATGGAGATTCCGAGCTTCCGCATACCTCTCAGACGGAAGACTCTTCGCGGCGAGGAACTCTCCACAACCGAGCCAGAGAGGGGGGCCAAAATTTCGATCCGGACGAATCACATCGGGATCCCTGGGAGCGTCCTCAATGCAAATGCCAGATCTGGATCATCCTCTACTCCAGAAACAAAAGAGAGCGCCTCGGCGAGGAGAGGCGACGGGTGCGTCGAGGAGATCACTGTTACTCCTGGCAGAAATGTGAGGGGAAACCACTGGTTGCCGATCGAGGCGAGCAAATCGACAAGAAATCCTGTAGCCGCGCTCCCTCACAGATCGCGACGCTCTTCCACCTCCTGGCTCGTCAAACCCTAGGCCGACAGACGCATACAAAATGTAGCCCTATTGAGCACACGCATTAGTGACGGCGTTCTTGACCGTGTGATGGACCGCATCGACGGCCACCCCGCCGCCACGTGCTGGCCGCACAGGCCGAGCATTAGCGCTAATGACGCGTTTGAGATAGGATTAGCGGGCGAAGGCTCTGGAGACTGGATCTGGGCCGTCCGTGCTGGAGGCCAACGGCTAAGAAGTCTCCAATAGCGACGCGTGGCGAAACTACCGGCCGGCTGCCTTGCTTGGCCGTCAGGCCGCCGTTCACAGCCGCATTATATTCGCGCTTGGAAAATTTTGGTAGAGGCCCCACGGATTCGATCGTGCGTCAGTGGGATCATCGTTATCGCCACGTGGGCAGGGATTAGGGTTCTTGGGCACGGAGATTAGGGTTTAAGGGGGTTTTGTGTCAGTCGGGCCACCGGCGCCATCATCCATTTCGTCGCTACGCATCGCGCTCGGCTGTGGCAGGATTTGGATGGATCGCTGCCAGCAGCTGTGAGCCTGCGAGTGAGGAGAAAGAGGAAGTGAGATGCACGGCACGGGCACAATGAGGTAGGCTTGCAATTGGTTTCCTGGAAGCTTTTTTGTCCCGCCTCGGAATTCTTTCCTTGTCTTCGCTGGCGGAGATTATTTTAAAAAAAAAACCTATGTGAGCAGCATTAAGCTGTCACGAGGCTGGGATGCTGCGCGTCGTGAACACGAACGTGTTTTTAGGATTTCTTTGGCGATAAACCCGAAAGATTTCAGCACGAAACGAGGTAAATTTCCTGTTTTTTTCTCTCTTTTTTTTCCTTTCAGAACTTCGTTTTATTAAGTCTCTTGGTTAAAGTTTTCTGTCTTGTACTGCAGCCTTTGATTTCACGAAGTGTCGTGTACCATTTTCTGATTGCTTTGGAAGATAAGTTTGGATCCAGATGCTCGAAGAACAAAATAAAAACTACAGGTAAATATCTCTCGCATTCATTGACTTGCAGAGAAACACTGGCATGCTTCTGCTTAATTTTGCTTATTTTGTTTCTTTTCAAAACTACTTTTTAAGTCTCTTAGAGCTAATTCTTCTGTCTTGCATTGCAGCGTTTGATTTCACGACGCTTTCCTGTGTCGTATACCATCGTCCGCGTGCTTTGGAGAAACCAGATGCTCGAAAACCATTGAGCAACTATAGAAACCACAGGTAAATATCCCTTTCCCATTCATTGACTTGCATTGGGACACTTAACATCAACGATCATGTCTTTGATCCTTCGATTGCCAAAAAAAAAGCTTTCTTTCTCTTGTTTCGAGCTAATGCTTTTATCCACAAAACTAAAGAGATATTTTGCGCACTTGCAGTGTCGAAAGCGTCGATTCCTGGGGGAACCAAAGAAAAGGAAATCAAAGCTGATGCTGCCAGGCTCTCCGTGGCAATGCTCATCAAAATGAATTAAAAAGGACGCAATCGCAAGCAAGGAATTCGAGGGAGCATGTACCACCTCTCTGTGATCGTCCAACCACGAAGTGGCACGATAGCCACCCCCACGTCCGTTAAAAAATTTCTTTCCCTTTGTTTGGCCATTGTTTTCCCTTTCTCAAACGTCCTTGTTCTTGCGCTGTGAGAGCCACGAAGTACTGGAGGACGCGCAAAAAGCTTCAATCACAGGCTTTAACTTTGACTGTGGCGCGCTCTAATTGGATGAGAGTTTATTTATTACATCGTGGACTCTAAGCTTTGATTCCGTAGTCAAGACTTGGTCAATGAATGTTTAGACTCGTCAAGGTTTAGATTGGTTTGTTTTCCCGCTAGCTAGGGTTTAGGGTTTTTGGAGAAGAATGGCGCTCTGGAGAGCGCTACCTCGCCGCGCTCGCGTCGCTGGTAGCGGCATTAGGTTGTTTTGCAGCGCAGTCGTGCGCGATTCCTCTCACGCGATCACGCGCCAGAATTTCGGGGCTGCATTCCAGCGGCTCAAGGGCCTCCTCCGCGAGGCGGATTTCGTGGCGATGGACCTAGAGATGTCGGGGGTGCACAGCGCGCCCTGGCGCAAGAGCATGGAGCTCGACACGCTGGAGACGAGGTATCACAACGTGAGGGATTCGGCAGAGAAATTCTCGTTGCTGCAATGTGGCTTGTGCTTGTTTCGATACGATCAGGCTTCTTCCAAGTTCTTGGGACACCCGTAAGTAAACACTCTTCTCTCGAATTTTTTTTCTCCTCTCGTTTTCTTCATGCTTCATTGTAACAGGTTTAATTTTTTCTTGTTTCCTCGAAACGAGCTCGTTCTTGAGCGCGACTTCTTATGCCAGACATCGTCACTAGAGTTTCTGGCAAAGCACCATTTCGATTTCAATGCTTGCATATACAATGGTAATCTTGTGATGATTTTTGTTTTGATCTTATGCAAAAGCCGTTTAGTGCAGGAATCTCGTATCTATCAAGGAAAGAAGAAGGGAAACTTCGGGCATTGCTTGCAAAAAAAGGGGAGGACGAACTTCCTGAAGTTTCCATGCGTAAGACATCCGACTTGATTTTCAGCGAGAGAGTTAGACTCCAAGTTGGTTTATGGCGTGCGTCCAAAATCATGGCCAAGCACAAAGCCAAGCAGGAGGAGTCTTCTGGTCGTTCTTCCATGCCTGACGATGAAGCTCCACTTCCTTCTCTAGTCATCAACGTTTCTGACAAGCGCCAAGCAAAACTTGTTTTGAAGGTACCATTGTCTTCCTTTCTTCTTCTTTCTCTGATAGTGTGTCAAAATTTCAGGCCGTGAGTAGTAACTTCGACGATTTGGTGCCTATGATCGAAGATAATGAGAAAGAGGCGACACAGGTGAAAGTCATCTACACTGGGTCCTCGGAGCACAAAATTGCATTACAGGTACTATTTTGTAGCGACAAATGTCACTAGCGGTTTAAAATATGCTTGTCTAGGCCGACCTTGACAAGGCAAAGCTGGATCTCATGGAGTGTGATGTGATGGAGGCAGTGGGTTTTCGGCAAGTAATTGATGCAATCTCGGAGTCGAAAAAACCCATCGTGGGCCATAACTGCGTTCTAGGTTCGTTCTGTTTTTTTTTTTTTGTTTCCTCTTTACCTCACTTATTTTTTCTTCATGGTTAGATCTTGCTCACATCTACAACAAGTTTATTGGACCACTCCCGGATAATTATTCCGGTTTCTGCAACGTCATTCACGAACTCTTTCCCGCCGTCATAGATACGAAGTACATGCTCAAAGTTCTTCGGACGAGCATCAGTACCACGTCTTTGTACCCCGTGTATTCCTACTACTTTGGTGAGGATGCGAAGAAAAACACCAAAACGAAGGCACATTCAACAGTGAACGTGGAAATTGCTGATGGCTTTCACAAGTGAGTGACACACATTTCTCCTCTCAGATTTTTATAAGCTGGCCGTTTCAGGTACTCTGACGCGGAGTTAAAACATGAAGCAGGATTTGATGCTTATATGACGGGTGCAATCTTTGCCCAGCTGTGGCGGACAGTGGTCTCCAATCCTACCGAGTTTTATGCACTCTCGAAAAAAATCCTTCGTGGAACCCACGCTATCTCGGAGTTTTCCAACCTTCTCTACATGGGCTGGGCTGGTCATTTCGTGCTGGACTTGAAGACGGGGAAAGAAGCCAAAGGCTCTAAAGCATTGCCGGAACGAGAAAGCTACTCAGCCCGACGTCCTGCCAGTGATGCCGCGGTTATTGTCTGGTCACAGGACCCAGTTGGTTCATCCCGCCAGCTTCAGAAACTGGTAAAGAGCTGCTTCGAAGAGACTCAGTTCTCATCCGAGGTGGAAGTTATTCCGGTGTCCGAGAATGCAGCGTTCCTGGCTTTTAAGAGCTTGCGTTCCTCGGAGGAGTTTTCACAAGCTCTCGAAAGCATCAAGACAAAGAGGAAAAAGTTGAACACTATCGCCGCAAGGCTTTCATCGAGCGGTCTAGAGGGTGCGCGGTTTGGAACCTTCGAAAAGCTCTGCAAGTCTGAACTCTCAACTTTTAACATCGGGGATGCCATACAGTCGATAAACTGCTTCTCCGACGACGAACTCGCCGCCAGCATAGAAAATGCGGATGCTCCGGACGACTTGCAAGTAGCCACCGTACAAGGATAGTTCTCCGCCCTTGAAAAGCTTCACCGAACTTCAATCTTGACTTTCAAAGGTATGGCAATTTCCTTAAATCTTTCGCCGACAATCACTTCGCGCTCTTGGTTTTTGTCAGAGTGAATGCTGTTCACGGCATCCCTGCGCTTTCACGTGGTGGAAAAAAAAGGCCGTAAGTCAAAAGCTTGTGGGTACACCTCTTTTCACAAGCCCGCATTTGCTAAGGATGAAGAATCGCTATCAAAGTCTAGCGCTCACTCTTGTGATCGATCAAAACACCCGGCGGAGCTTCATATCAATCTAGAAGTTTACATCAGCGCAGTGGTGATTGGATCGAGGGGGTCGGTCGGGTGATAAATGCCTCTGTGCTCCATCCTGTGACTTGGATTCTCTGGCTGGCCGGTCGTCAAGTGAAAAGAGCACAGGCTTTTAAGCTTCATAGATGATTCAGCGATGATGGCGGTGGCGATATCAAAGGCCGGACGAGTTTCGTCAGGGACGGGTTTTAGTTGCCTAACTGTTTTTGAGGTGCTCGCCGCCGAGAGAGATTGGATGATTGACTCGGAAAATACTATTCTATTGTCATCGAGATCATCTTAGAGCTGAAAGAGTGTGACATCACACGAGAGACTGGACGTCCTCTCTCTCTCTACTGGAGCGCCCCCCGTGAGCTGCGATGATCTTCGCAGATCTGTATATCTCCTCTAACTTGTCGCTATTTCCTGGAACCAGCCATCAAAGAAAGCAGCACTGTTACAACTTATCGCAAAGGTATGCTCGAGCTTAATCGTGACTTAACGTCATTTCCATTCGATTGTTTTCGCTCACTCGGTGGTCCTTGTAGCAGGCCCAGCTTTTACCAACCGGAGGGACCACAGGCTCTCGCGCCCTCCATCGTTTTCTCGCCAGGAGGATCATCTTAAAGTTGGCGATGTGCGAGTAACTAACCAAATTTTGCACAGTCGCCCGGAGATAGAGACGGAGTTTTGCTGCAGTGCCGCGCAGCGGAATGCTGACAATACACCATCGGCTTGGAACAAAAACTTGCCGAGGCAGAGGAACACTGCAAAGGTCTGTAAGTCAATGCTTGCCTCTTTCACGCGCTTGTCCGTTGTTTCTTTCTTTCTTTTTCTCTTCTTTCGCTCGCTGGCTCGATCGCATCTAATGAGTTGCTTATGATCTGTTTGCAGGCGCCGTGGCCGGTCCCTGTAGAGAAAAAGCATAAACGGGAGAGAAAAAAGGAGACGAAAGAAGAAAAGGAGTGTCCTTTGTCGCTGAGTACGAAGGTCCGAACGAGCCAGCAGTTGTGTTACGAGTTACTTGCTGTCCCTCATTCTCTAGCTGGTGCCTCCTTGCTCCATAGCTCCGAGGACCTACAAACGCGGTATCATTCTTTCAATCAGTGAGGCCTACGTCGCAGATATATTTGGCTCGGTATTCGGTTGGATGACAGCACCTCCTCGGCTCACAGTGAAAAACTCAATTGCTCGAAAACAAGAGGTCCTTTCACTCGGCAACGACGAGGAATTCAACATTTTTCTATTCGGATTCCACGCGACGAGAGAGAAAAGAGACCCCGTCGTCTCGGCTGTGCTCGTGATGCTGCGTACGATTCACGGAGCCTGGCTGCTGGTAAACAAAACAACCAAGACGAACAAAGTTTTCTACTAGGCCGGGTCTGCTTGGATCCACGAGCGAGCTTTTGTTCTTCCACTTCCTCGCGCGACTGTTCTCCTCCTCCACGCTCGAGTCGAGTTAACGCAACCACAGTGATTCCGACCGAAAGAAGTTCACGTGTGGTCTCGTCGCAGCAGCAGATGCCAGGAGTACAATCCAGTGCAGCTCCGGAGATAATGCAGCGACCACCGAGGCTGTCCTCGCCAGACGAGATCTCCCGGATTGATATTCTCGAGCACGAGAGTGTGAGTGGCGGCGCCGGCGGTGATGAAACTCCGATAAGCAGCACCTTGTTCGACATGTTCGCTTCGTCGCAATTCTCAAACAACGCCGCCAACAACAGCTCCAGTTCCTCGTCACTGCATGAAAAGGCGATTTTTCCAGAGATTTCAGCCTTTCCCGAGCAAGGAACTACTGCAGCGGCAGCAGCAGCAGGAGGAGGAGGAGCAGGAGATGGCGGGGGAGGAGGAATTCCAGCAGCAGGAGCTTCTTCCAGGACTCCGGAAGACGAGCATCCAGGCAACGGCGGTGGCGGCGGCTTCGGCTCCTTCCAGTTTCTAAGTCGATCCATGTTTGCGGAGCGCTCGGACAAAGCCGAGGAGCTCGAGCAGCAGGGATTGACGCTGCAGCAAGCCTCTCCCTCGAGCGTCGAGATTGAAGCTCCGGGAATAACCAAGCTCTGGACTGACTACGACGAAGATGGTGGGGAGCAGCACCACGCTTCTTTCCACTCCTTGGGCGACATCAATGGCAAGAAGAACACAACAACAGCATCGTTTCAGGCCAATTCTTCGTGGGGGGGAGCTTCCAGATCTAGCTCCGTCCTCGAGGCGACCACGACAAGAACCAGCAACAAGCCCAAGCGGAAGAGATCCAGGCCTTGCAAGAGCAGCGAGGAAGTGGAGAGCCAGCGAATGACGCACATCGCAGTGGAGCGCAATCGCCGACGCCAGATGAACGAGCATCTACGAGTTCTTCGCGCTCTCATGCCAGGATCTTACGTCCAGCGGGTACGTTCTTTTTCTGGTTCATCAATAGATAGCTAGATTGCTACTCTCTTTTTCCATTTTTTTTTCTCTTCGCTATTCGTTTTTTTCTTCTTCCATCAGATTGCTCAAAAACTGATTTTTTCGCTTTTTCCATGCTTTTCTCTTCGCTATATTTTCATGGCTAGATCGTCGTGAGCTCCAGATGAGCTCATCACGAGTTTTTGTGAGATAGAAAGGGACTGGCTGCCCACCTCTCAATCAGATTTTCATATTCGTGTGTGTGAGAGAGAGCAGTAGCGATTGTCACTGACTACGAAACACTCATTGTTCTTGCAGGGAGACCAGGCCTCGATCATCGGCGGCGCGATCGAGTTCGTCAAGGAGCTCCAGCAGCTGCTACAATGCCTCGAGGAGCAGAAGAAGCGCAAGATGAGCTTCGTGGAGGCACCGCCGAGAATGCTGGGATCGCCAACCACGATCATCCAAGCGGTGGCCGCCGGCTTTCCTGGCGGTGGTGGCGGGATGATCCGAGCGTCGCCGCCAGCGCCGCCGCCGCCGCCACCGCTGCCACTCGACGTCAAGTACTTCGACACGGGGCTGTACGAGCCGCTGCGCGAGCTGTACGGGGAGGCCAAGTCGGAGATCGCCCAGGTGGAGGTGAAGATCACGGGCAGCAACGCAAACATCAAGATCCTCTCGCAGAAGAAACCCGGGCAGCTGCTCAAGACGATGACCGCGCTGGAGAACAAGCTGCTGTTTAGCATCCTCCACACCAACGTGACAACGATCGATCACACGGTGCTCTACGCCTTCGAAGTCAAGGTACTAAGTTCCCTTCCTCCTCGTTCCAGTTCTTTCGTGATTGATCGATCTAAAAGATCGATCTTTTAGAGAGAATCATTCTCTTTCACGTCGATCACGAGTGACTGACGAGAGGAATTTCTCTTGCAGATTGGCCAGAACTGCGAACTGGCGAACGAGATCGCGGAATTCATCCACGAAACGCTCGCTTCCAGCCTATAGTCAAGAAAGGCGAACGAAGAAGAGAGACGTACGGAAAACGTGATTTCCCGTTTGACAGGGATTGTACGGAGGGTTTGCCCTTTTTAAAACACGTTAGATTTTTAATCTCCAGTTAGGGTTCTTCGACTAACATGGCGAAGCGCAAAGAGGAGAGCTGGGAATCGCGCATTCGAACGCTTCACACGGAGCTGGCGGCGATTCGCGAGCGGTTCTCGCTGCCAGAGGTAAGCCTCCGCGTCGTTTGATGTGTACATTGTGTCGTGATTCGTGGATTTCTCGTGGAAATCGCTACAATCGCCAGAAGAAACCGCGGATTGAGGCTGCTCCTGAGGTGAGATCTCGTTGCTTTCTAGAGATTGATGTCGTCTTCCCGTTTCAGGAGAAAGCAGCGATTCTGGATCAAGAGCCAGCGGCACCAGTGAGTTTTATCTTTTGCATTTCCTTCTTCTCGTTTGATTAACCGGAGTTATAGATCGAAGAACTGGCCCGTGGAGAGGAGGAAAGGCAAGAGGATTTACCCAGTTCCTCGAGAATCCCAGACGATGTGATTTTTCTTTCTCCGGGGAAAGTAAGTGGCATTCTCGTTTTCGCTTCTGTTCTTCCTCATCTGTGTACTAACAGCTTTCTTCCTTCCAAAAGCTTTACAGGGAAATAGTGGACCTCGATCCGGACAGTCCGTTATCGTCCCCAAGAACTTGTCCAGACGTTATAATCCTTCCAGCTCCTCCGGTGGTTGCAAAGAAAAGTTCTCCAGCGCCATCAGATCGTAGTGGAAGTTCCCGAGCTCCTCCAGACGTTATAATACTTCCAGCTCCTCCGGTGGTTGCGAAGAAAAGTTCTCCAGCGCCATCAGATCGTAGTGGAAGTTCCCGACCTCCTCCAGTTGCTGTTGATCATGGTTTTCGAGCTCCTCCAGCTGATCAAAGTTCTCCGGCTGCTCCGGAAGGTTCTCTAGCGGATCAAATTCCAACAGCTCCGCCGGTCCGTCGTCAAGCTCCTCCAGGTCAAAGTTCGCTAGACGGTATAGAAGCTATCCCAGGGGATCAAAGGTCTCCAGCTCCTCCCAAAGTTATAGTAGGGGACCAGAGTGCGGCAGCTCCTCGTAATCGAAGTCCTCGGGGTCTTCTCGCGAATCAAAGTCCTCGAACTGATCAAACTTCTCGCGATCCACAAAGTTCGCCAGCTCCTGCGGAAGCTACTCCAGTGGATTCCCCAGTTCGTCGGACGCGAAGTTTTCGGGCTCCTCCTCCACCTCCTGCGGTCGACCAAAGTTCTCGAGCTCGTCGGCGTTGTTCAGATAAGGATGTAAACCTTCTTCCAAGTTCTCCGCCTCCTCCACCACTAGCTCCTCCTGTTCTTCGCATTTCTTCAGCTGATCAAAGCTCCCGGGATCAAGGTCTCGAAGCTCTTCCTCGACCAAGACGCATAAAACAGCCACTTATGGAGGATCTAAGCTCTCTAGCCTCTTCAGCCAAGCCAGTTGATACTCCAGTGTCTTCTCCACATCCCAAGAACAAGGTAACTCGGTTTGTTCGTGCTTGTCAACTCTGACCAAGCTTTCTTTCGTCTCCAGTCGACGTTGCATGGATTTGTCAGCGTGTTCCTCCCGGTGCTAAAGGACGTGCCTGACTGGGTTTCCGGGCCTTACCAGGAATTCAAGGACGATTCAATACGCCTGTGCAACAAGTGTCTGTCACTCTGCGAGTGGATCTATTTCCTGACCAAGTAAGCTCCAGTTTCTTAAGAAGCTTGGGATCGAGTGCGAGGATGATATCTTGCAGGGAAGACAGGGAACTGTGCGCTGCCTGCGTGAAAGAAGAAGGCTGCTGTGAATCCTCCAAAACTTTTCTCCGGGAGGGCGTGGTCCAGTACTTGAGCGCGCTGGACTCGGCTGCCTCGGCGCTCATCACGGCACCGCCGTCTCTCGCGATCGAGGAGGAGAGCCAGAGCAAGTCCGATCTGGCGGATGAAGAGAGAAAGACGAGGACGCTCCGCCTGATGAGAAGGCTCATCAACAACGGTTACGAAGAGGACGCATCGTCCACTGTGACGCTCGGCAGCTTCGTCCAGTCCTACAATGCGCTCAATCACGCCAAGATCTCCGATAAGCTTGCGGCGCTGGCTCTTGATCTGTTGGGATTTGCCTGTGATCGCTCTACTGGGCTTGTACAAGGCCTGAAGGTGCGATAACATTACTAAATTTATTTCACCTTTTTCTGGTATAACATAATTTTGTTAATTCTTTCAGAGTTATGGATTATCTCATGGGAATATTCCAAGCACATTTAGGTGCTTGTACATGGAACTGGCTAATGCAATCACAGCCATACTCAAGGTAATTTTATATGTAATAGCAAATGCCTAGCTAATGTTGGGTAGTTGGCAAAGCCTCTCAAACTCACCAATATATCTTTGTGACAAAACTTGTTCACATCTCAAAATTTATTTGTTGATCTCTAACTACCTAAGAGTCACTCTTCTTCACTCTAAGCCATCTAAGAAACTTCCTGACCTTTCTGACCTCACATCACAACACTGACATCACATAAAAACCCAGAAGAGCTAACAATCCATTGTTTTATCTTGACAATCCAAAAATTGGAGAAGATACTCGGTGGTCACTACTACATAATTCAGCTTTAATAACCATTAGGCCTGTAATGCCACAACCTAGAGAGAGATATCCCTTTGATAGCCTTTTTGATAGACTTGAATTTATTACCATTGAACAAAGTTGAGAGAAAGCAAATTTCTCTTGTCTTGAGTGCAATGTGATTGTCTCAAATTCCTGGACTAATGTGTGTCTTCTCTAATCCATGGCTTTCACCCACAATGAACTTCTTCTCTTCCAGCTAGCATGCCCGTTATTGATTGGCCATCCAAACATCAATGTGATTTTTCCCATAACCATGGATACCAAGCCTGTCCCAGGCTTGGGATCCAATGGCTACCAGGCCTCCCCCCTTTTATCGCTTTATATATATAGAATATAGATTAGAATACTAAGATTTTAAGAAAATTAATACTTGACTCAGAAAAAAGTAAAATATGAATTTCTTAGAATAAATACTTTTCATAGATATTAGATGCAAAGTATAAGCTAACGATATGAATATATTTTTTATATCATATATATTAAATAATGTGTTTACTTGGAATATGAATAAATATATAACACTAAGATTTAAGAACTTTAATATTACTTAGAGCTAGACAAATGGCTCCCAAGTGTGCTAGAGGGTTTTGGAGTGGAATCAGTTCCACCAGATGAGGCCTTGGCCATCAATGGTGCCATTGTTTCTTGGAAAAATCAAATATTTTTCAATTGATCACTAAGTGTTTATAAATACTTGTGATTGCGACATCGGTGATCCTTAGCCCATGAAGCAAGCTCATGTATCTCTTCCTTGGAGGCTCTCTTCCTCACCCATATGATGGCAAGGGATCAAGCACAAGCCAATCTTAAGGATCCTAATGAAGAAATCCAGAAAAAAATCAGTTTTTATTGTTTGTGCTAGAACTCTTCTCTTACCTTAGAGTGAGGATTGTGGCATCCTATTCCAAGAAGAGAGTCATATGGCTTGTGAGATTGAAGCATCTGGTGAGCCAATCATCGTGCCTCCCAGCTTGCCAAAGCTGCCAATGTGATCAATTGCCTTATGGAACGCCTTGGTGTTAAGTATGATCCCATTGCTCACTCCCCCAAAATCGGCAATGGAGAAAACACGTGGATGCGCTCTCAATAGCCCTGGGCCAGCTTGCTCTCCACACTGTTGCATCCCTGGATAGCCAGCGAGCAATCACCCAGCAGGAACAGCAACGGTAATGCATTCTTCATGATGCTTTTTTCGCTCAATGGTCAACACTTTGTTGTGAGTGGAGAAGTTGTCTTTTTGATGGAATGTTGAGAAAGAACCTCCCATGCTCATCCGTGGCTTGCTGCACAGTAAAGAATGGCCTCTCATTGGCAGCTTTGCAGTGCAAATCAAAGTTCACACTAAAGTCGAATTGGTTTTTATATAAGAAAAACATACCTTCAAATTTAAAACTGCAGTGTTTTTATCATTGACCAAGTCAGAGTGTTCCTACATTTCAAAGAAGTCATGAACATGATTAAAATGCCTGTTTCAAACTATTGCTATGAGTGTTTTCTAGAGAAAGACTATCAAGCTTAAAATGAAAGAAAAAGGCATTAAAAACCAGTATGGTATGCATCCTAGGCAATCATAAGCAAAACTTATGCTGCAAGTATTGGAGCTTTAAGTGAGAACTTATAATGGCAACACTTTGCCTTGAATTTATACTCACTTTCTTTTTAATGGTTATACTTGATCTGGAAGACACTTCTCAAACCATTTCAAGGAAACTGTAAAAGTTACCTCATGTTGCATAGAGGATCTTTGTGGACACTCGAGGCTTCCTCTTCAAAGCTATGTAAGGTTGGTTAGCTGTTCTATCATCCATAGTTAAACAATTTGGTGGAACAACTCGTTCAAACATGATCATGAAATATATGAATTTTCAGCATTCGGATTGGGATGGTTATTTGCCGTCTTTTCAGTATGCATATATTACAAATGTAGAGTTTGTTGGTGCTTCACCATATAAATTCATATATGGTCATAATCCAATATTACTAATAGAGTTGGGTTTACCTTTGTGATTGCCATGAGCTATTAATGTTAGGTTATGGGATCAGTATTTAACAAACATTCTTCCACTTGTCCAAGTAGAGTCTGCCGAACACCTAGACCACATACAAGTGGGATAACAACGGTGCTATAACTCCCATTATCATCCACCTGCAAAGTACAAAGTGGATGACTTGGTGTTAATTTATTTTCCCCATCTTGGTTTATCTAAAAGGCTCCTTACTCAATGGAAAAGACCGTATTGAGTGTTGCAGCAAATTGGACTGCAAATTTATGAGGTTTAGCATGACATTAGTAAGTTGATCCTCTAGAAATTGTGCATGTGTAGTGGTTGAAAAACTTCATATAAAAGGATAAAGAAGAATTAATACCACCTACAGATCCACTAATGCCTCCTTTTAATATTCCTCTAGATCCTAGCCTATCTACAAGAGAACCTTGATGGCCTTTTATTAT